CCAGAAACCTGTACTTGTCAGAGTCTTTTCCATGAATTCCTTAAAGATGAAACACTTCTAGAGGAACATTTTTGCAAAAGCATCAGAGTACACACAGAATTGTCTGTAAATGACAAAAGACTTAAAAATGACCACAGTTAAAGATTTGATGAAAGTTCATAATAATGCAATTGACAAGGAAATTTAGTTATTTCTGAGATATACATTTTAAAGTAATAACTAGAATTATGACTTATAACATTATACCAGAACATATAAGATTTTTAGAAATTTCATGTAATGTCTGAAACATTTATGTTAACATATTTCCATACAAATAACCCAAAGAAAGTTTAGTATTCATTGTTTTTGTTTGTTTGTTTGTTTGTTTGTTTATACTGTAGGTTCTTATTAGTCATCAGTTTTATACACATCCGTGTATACATGTCAATCCCAATCGCCCAATTCAGCACACCACCATCCCCTCCCCACCGCAGTTTTCCCCTCTTGGTGTCCATACGTTTAGTTTCAACTTCTGCCCTGCAAACGGGTTCATCGGTACCATTTTTCTAGGTTCCACATATATGCGTTAATATACGATATTTGTTTTTCTCTTTCTGACTTCCTTCACTCTGTATGACAGTCTCTAGATCCATCCACGTCTCAACAAATGACCCAATTTCGTTCCTTTTTATGGCTGAGTAATATGCCAAGGTATATATGTACCACATCTTTTTTATCCATTCATCTGTCATTGGGCATTTAGGTTGCTTCCATGACCTGGCTATTGTAAATAGTGCTGCAATGAACATTGGGGTGCATGTGTCTTTTTGAATTGTGGTTTTCTCTGGGTATATGCCCAGTAGTGGGATTGCTGGATCATATAGTAATTCTATTTTTAGTTTTTTAAGGAACCTCCATACTGTTCTCCATAGTGGCTGTATCAGTTTACATTCCCACCAACAAGGCAAGAGGGTTCCCTTTTCTCCACACCCTCTCCAGCATTTGTTGTTTGTAGATTTTCTGATGAAGCCCATTCTAACTGGTGTGAGGAGATACCTCACTGCAGTTTTGATTTGCATTTCTCTAATAATTAGTGATTTTGAGCAGCTTTTCATGTGCTTCTTGGCCATCTGTATGCCTTCTTTGGAGAAATGTCTATTTAGGTCTTCTGCCCATTTTTGGACTGGGTTGTTTGCTTTTATAATATCAAGCTGCATGAGCTGTTTATATATTTTGGAGATTAATCCTTTGTCTGTTGATTCGTTTGCAAATATTTTCTCCCATTCTGAGGGTTGTCTTTTCATCTTGTTTATGGTTTCCTTTGCTGTGCAGAAGCTTTTAAGTTTCATTAGGTCCCATTTGTTTACTTTTGTTTTTATTTCCGTCACTCTAGGAGATGCATCAAAAAAGATCTCACTGTGATTTATGTCAAAGAGTGTCCTTCTGGGCTTCCCTGGTGGCGCAGTGGTTGAGAGTCTGCCTGCCGATGCAGGGGACATGGGTTCGTGCCCCGGTCCGGGAAGATCCCACATGTCGCGGAGCGGCTGGGCCCGTGAGCCATGGCCGCTGAGCCTGTGCGTCTGGAGCCTGTGCTCCACAACAGGAGAGACCACAACAGTGAGAGGCCCACGTACCGCAAAAAAAAAAAAAAAAAAGAGTGTCCTTCCTATGTTTTCCTCTAAGAGTTTTATAGTGTCTGGTCTTACATTTAGGTCTCTAATCCGTTTTGAGTTTATTTTTGTGTATGGTGTTAGGGAGTGCTCTAATTTCATTCTTTTACACGTAGCTGTCCAGTTTTCCCAGCACCACTTATTGAAGAGGCTGTCTTTTCTCCATTGTATATCCTTACCTCCTTTGTCATAGATTAGTTGACCATAGGTGCATGGGTTTATCTCTGGGCTTTCTATCTTGTTCCATTGACCTATGTTTCTGTTTTTGTGGCAGTACCATATTGTCTTGATTACTGTAGCTTTGTAGTATAGTCTGAAGTCAGGGAGTCTGATTCCTCCAGCTTCCTTTTTTTCCCTCAAGACTGCTTTGGCTATTCGGGGTCTTTGTGTCTCCATACAAATTTTAAGATTTTTTGTTCTATTTCCATAAAAAATGCCATTGGTAATTTGATAGGGATTGCATTGAATCTGTAGATTGCTTTGGGTAGTACAGTCATTTTCACAATCTTAATTCTTCCAATCCAAGAACATGGTATATCTCTCCATCTGTTGGTGTCATCTTTAATTTCTTTCATCAGTGTCTTATAGTTTTCTGCATACAGGGCTTTTGTCTCCCTAGGTAGGTTTATTCCTAGGTATTTTATCCTTTTTGTTGCAATGGTAAATGCGAGTGTTTCCTTAATTTCTCTTTCAGATTTTTCATCATTAGTGTATAGGAATGAGAGATTTCTGTGCATTAATTTTGTATCCCGCAACTTTACCAAATTCATTGATTAGCTCTAGTAGTTTTCTGGTAGCGTCTTTAGGATTCTGTATGTATAGTATCATGTCATCTGCAAACAGTGACAGTTTTACTTCTTCTTTTCCAATTTGTATTCCTTTTATTTCTTTTTCTTCTCTGATTGCCGTGGCTAGGACTTCCAAAACTATGTTGAATAATAGTGATTAGAGTGGACATCCTTGTCTTGTTTCTGATGTTAGAGGAAATGCTTTCAGGTTTTCACCATTGAGAATGATCTTTGCTGTGAGTTTGTCATATATGGCCTTTATTATGTTGAGGTAGGTTCCATCTATGCCTGCTTTCTGGAGAGTTTTTATCATAAATGGGTGTTGAATTTTGTCAGAAGCTTTTTCTGCATCTATTGAGATGATCATATGGTTTTTCTCCTTCAATATGTTAATATGGTGTATCACATTGATTGATTTGCATATATTGAAGAATCCTTGCATCCCTGGGATAAATCCCACTTGATCATGGTGTATGATCCTTTTAATGTGTTGTTGGATTCTGTTTGCTAGTATTTTGTTGAGGATTTTTGCATCTATATTCATCAGTGATATTGGTCTGTAATTTTCTTTTTTTGTAGTATCTTTGTCTGGTTTTGGTATCAGGGCGTTGGTGGCCTCATAGAATGAGTTTGGGAGTGTTCCTCCCTCTGCAATTTTTTGGAAGAGTTTGAGAAGGATGGGTGTTAGCTCTTCTCTAAATAAAACCAACTTTAAATGTAGGTAATATTAGCAGGACCACTCGCCAGGTTCACTTCAAATTCCTCCCCAAACCATACAGCCCTTCAACAAGAATTTACCAACAACCTAATATGTGTATTAACCAAGTATCACCTGTTATGCAAAAGAAATAGAAAACAAAACCCATGCCCTCCAAGTACTTTTTTCTGCAATTACCTAGAGCTTTAAACATTTGCTATAGGTTGTCAAAGCTACAATAGCATCTCAATTATGTGGTATGCTACACAAGCAGATTTTCTTAAAATTTAAAGCTTAACCCTCCAGCCATCAGAAGTTAAAACATATATATATATTATTCTATATGTTAGAAAGAAAACCTACATACACATTTTTAAACAGAAAATACTCAATGTACCCCACCCCCTCTTCAGGATGCTGAGGCTTCTTCCTGAACATTCCTGGGCTCAGGAACAAAACCCTGATAGACCCAGGGTTTACTGAGTTGTGCGGGGCTTGACCATGCTGAATGGCCTTAGGAAGCCATAGATTTTGAGTACTTCCATATAATTTTGGAAGTACTTCTGCCTCCATTTTTACTGCAAACTGTTGGCTGTCATTTCATTTTGCTGATCTTCCTGCTTTTCGCTGTTTCTATTTGGGGCTCTTCAAGAGAGCCACTCTGCGTAAACCCTTGGCCACTGTTTTCCTTCTGCTTTTCTCTGCCTCTTTTCCTTTAGCCCAGGTCATTTACTGGATCCTCCCCAGAACTGGCATCATGGGCATTGGACGTGTGCAGTCACACGAGACACCACACTCAGAAGGGCCCACCCTTGGTTCAGTGTTCTGCTGTAGCTGTCTTGACACTCTTAGTAACTTTGTCTTTGAATTTGTGTGTTATAAGTAACATCCGATGGGATGATGGAGGCTGGGCATGAGAGAGGAGATATGCTGAGTATGCTGAGTAGAAAGAACAGGGACTTCCCTGGTGGCGCAGTGGTTAAGAATCTGCCTGCCAATGAAGGGGACATGGGTTTGATGCCTGGTCCCAGAAGATCCCACATGCTGCGAAGCAACAAAGTCCCTGTGCCACAACTACTGAGCCTGCTCTCTAGAGCCCGTGGGATACAGCTACTGAGCCCATGTGCCGCAACTACTGAAGCCCACGCATCTAGAGCCCGTGCTCTGCAACAAGAGAAGCCACCACGAGAAGCCCACACACCGCAAAGAAGAGTAGCCCCTGCTCACTGCAACTAGAGAAAGCCCACGCACAGCAATGAAGACCCAACGCAGCCAAAGATAAAATAAAATTTAAAAAAAAAAGAAAAAAGAACAGGTGGGCAACTCAAATGTCCACCAATGGATGAATGGATAAACAAAATGTGGTCTATACATACAGTGGAATATTATTCCGCCTTTAAGTAGAAGGAAACTCTGACCTGTGCTCCAGCATGAATGAACCTTGAAGACTTTATGCAAAGTGAAATAGATCAGATACAAAAGAACAAATACTGTATGATTCCACTTATGTAAGATCCCTAGAGTAGACAAATTCATACCAACAGAAAGTAGAATGGTGGTTGCCGGGGAACTTGGGGAGGGAGAAATGAGGAGTTATTGTTTGGTTCTGGACACGGATAGTGGCGAGAGTTGTACAACATTGTGAATGTACTTACTGCCACTGAATTGTACACTTTAAAGTGGTTAGAATAATAAGATTTATGTTACATATATTTTACCACAATTTAAAAAAAAATAACAGGTGGGAATGCTAATCTGTGCCCCTATCTCTTTTTTTAAAAAATAGATCTTTATTGAAATATAATGAGAAAGAGAAATTAAGGAAATGCCCCTATCTCTTTACCATCTCCCTTCTCCACCTAGAGGTGTGCGTGTCCTGGAAAAATGGAAAGATGATTTACGCCTTCAGTTCAAGGCTGGACGGGAAAAAAGACAGAGGAAATGAAGGTGAGGAGGTGGTGTCATTCATCAAGGCTATGGTGCCAGTTGAAGGGTTGTTTTCAGAGATGCACTTGAGGGCTTTCTGATGATGGCAGAATAGAGCTGGACGTTCAGGGAGGAGAAATGGCTTACCAGGTCCTCCCAGCTCATGATGGCAAGGACAGTGATGGAGCCAGAGGCAGGCTGGCTCCCAATCCAGGGCTGTTTCCTCTTGACTGAAGCTTTGCATGTGATTGCAGCCATGAAGGAGATGGCACGTGAGTCAGCAACTACAGCGAAACTCGACAGGGACTCTAAGGAAAGTAGACACAGTGGGCTCTGCTTCCCAGGGCTGGACCGGAGGAGACTTCGGGGTGAATAGCTAAGGAGTTTATAATATAAGGCCAGGAGCCCGGGACAGGCATCCTGGGTGGAAGTAACAGCATGCACCATAGGACACAGCAGCATCCTGGGCAGCGTTTCCGCGGGGGCACCATTAATCATTTGACTCAGGACTGTTCCAGGCTCAGCAGGACGTTTAGTGTCTCCCATCCCTGCTCACTAAATTCCATAAGCACCCCCCAGTCACTGTGACAACCTCATGCACCTGACACATTTCCAAATGCCACCAGGGGGTAGGTACCACCCCTAGCTAACTTCTGGTGGGTCTAGTTTTAGGACACGTGCAGGGGGCCTTCATAGGCGACCGACCAGAGCAGTCACCCAGGGTCCCTCATTCAGAAGGGCCCTGCATGAGGGGTTTAAGGCTCTGAGGGTACCATCTGGAAATTCCTGATCCTTTTTTCTTTGAATTTGTGTTTTGTGAGTAGAGTCTGTGGCCAATGAAGAATGTGCTGAAGGCTTGCAGCCTCTGTTCCTGTGCAGTCCCACCTCCCGCTGCCACCCCACTCTATGCCCCTGGCACCTCAGGTTCCACCCAGTTTCCCCCTCCCCACTCCTATCACTTGACCCCATTATATTGGTGGCGGACGGGAGTCAGGTTCTGTATTGCCCTCCAGCCCCAGCGGAGGCCAAGTCAAACTCAGAGAGGGCCAAGGTTGAGTGCAGCCTCCTCGGCGTCTCTGGACAGGACAAGGCAGTGGCCACCACTGCCCTGGGCTGGCAGTGCCACGGCACATTGTGGAGTGACTCAGCAGGGGCCCCTTGCCCACCTCCAGTGCAGGCACCCAGCTTCTCTTTGGTTGCAATCCCTTAGCGTTTGCCCTTCCACCTGTGGGTTGGGTGGAGGCACACAGGAAGGGAGACTGATTCCCCACCCCCAGCAGGGGCCCTGCATTTTGCACTGGACCTACAAGTTACAGAGCCAGCTCTGCGTGTATAATAGTGTCAGCAGTGGACACAGAGAGAAGGGGATGCTTTCAGGAAATGGTTTGATGTGGACTCCATAGGTTTTAGTGACTGACTTACATATGGAGGGAGAGGGAGGATTTTAAGAAGACAGCTCCCCCATTTTTAGCCCAGAAATAGAGAAAGATCAGTTTGTTTGAAGGGGGTATGGAAATGTGGGGAGAAATAATAAGTTTACTTTGGGACATATTTATTTTGAGATTGTTGTGGAGAAATCCACAGAACATTTGGAAATTAGGTCAGGAGCCCAGGAAAGAAGTCTAATTGGAAGAAATAGATTTGTGAGTTGTAGGTGTATGGAAGGTATTTGAAGTTAAGGGAACAAAAGAGAAGGGCCAGGACAAGATGTGGTGGCGGGAAGAGGGGCAAGGATGCTGCAGGGACTGAAAGTGAGATTCAGACAGAAACATGGGCATTGAATTTGCTCACTAGAAAGTCAACAAGTAACTTAGAGCTGCACTGCCCAATACAATTGCCACTAGCCACATGTAGCAATTAAAATTAAGTCAAACTTAAATAAAGTTTAAAATTCAGTTCCACAAGCCACATTGCGTGTTCTCCGCAGCCACACATGGCTAGTGGCTATCATACTGGACCACTCAGAATAGAACATGACCACGCTCACAGAATACTCTGCTGGACAGCACTATTCTGGGGAGTGGCACGAGCAGAAGCAAGGCTGCAGTGGGCTGGAAAGTGGGGGGACATGAGGATGAGAGGGGTCAGTTTGGAGTACAGGTTCCTCACCGCCATGCCTGGATGCACTGGTTTGCCCAGCTGCCGCTGTGAGCTACACTGAGAACTGAAACTGTCCAACGAGATGCTTTTGTGGGAAAGCTGGTGGAGAAAATTGTATTCTCCAGACTTCTTTAGGTAGAACATTGTATTTGGTAAGAATTTCCCTTGGGGTAGAAATTGAGGTGGTGTGTTGGCTCACGGGTAACATGACTGCCCTGCTGAAGGCGACAGTATATCCTGGGTGTGCAGGCGAGGGAGCCATGGGGAGAGAAGCAGAGGGTGGGGACAGGGGTGAGAGAGGGGGGTGGGTGTGTCTGGACGATGTGCTGGGACAGACATCCCCTTAACCCTCCAGATCTTCAGGAAACTTCCATGAAAACCACAGAATGCCCAGTGTCCGTGGGGTTTCTGTGGGGAGCAGAGAAGGTACAATGTTGACCACTTAGACATCATGGGGAGACCACAGAATCAGGTTCGAGCCAAGTCCATGCAGATCCCCAAGGGGCACTTGTAAACGAGTTTATTCTAAAAGAGTTTACAATAAAACTTATGTTGGTTTAATTTTTTTCTTGATTTTTTAATATGCTTCTAAAAAGCAAGCCCTATGTTTTAAAAAATTAATCAGATGCCTATAAACATATGAATATCTAAAGTAACAAAATAAAATATTTATTAAACCTGGCTCAGATCTGTCCATAGAAATGCCTGCCTGGAGATAAGAGCCCCCTGGAGGTGTGAGGAACCCAGAGCCACCTGTAGCCCTGGAGTGCTCATCACGGGGGCTTTGAAAATTGCATGTGGGCTTTGCCACCCGTTTGAGATGGAAATTTCAGGCAAGCGGCACTTTCCTTCTGTCTGTTACTGCAGCCACCCTTCCCTCCCTGCCTCCCTAGAGCCCTGTACGGGTACCCACCCCGTCCCCTGCAGAGTATTAGGGCCAACACGGTCTGTGGCTCACACAGGACCATGTGATGACGGTGGAGGGCTTCAGAGACATCTTAACCTGGCTGAGGCCTGCGGACTTGTCCAAGCAGTGCCAGGACTGGAGCCCAGGTTCCTGGACACTCCAGACACCCTGGGCTCACTGATTCCACCCTTCCTGGCTGGCAAGGACGTCTCACCTGCTTCAGGCTTGCTTGTCTCTAAATCAGCATCCAACACTACCACCCCCAGCCTCCCGCTGCACACCGTTCATAGGCCTCCGTGCTCGCCGGCAACCGCAAGTCCCCTGCGACGTCCAGGGTGTGCAGGCGCAGTGCCGGGCACTCAGGAAACACAATACACGCTTGTCGAATGACCCCTGGCGAGGAGTTCCGGCTCTCGGGAAGCCTTCTTGCCATCGCAAACTGTAGAAATCAGGTTTCCTCCTCTCACCAGCTTATCCCTCAGGTTCTCAGTCTTTTGTCAACCTGGATAAATGCACATCCTGCCTCAAGTCACTCGCTGCCTTGAGTGTTCATTTTCAAAGCAACTTGGAGGCCGGTTGGCATCTGCATGCTCCCAGGTGCGTTTGGAAAGGGCATGAGTGAACTCAGAAGGTGAAGGATCCAGGGGCCGGTGCCCAGGATGAGGAATGGGGAATTCTGGTGTCCCTCGTGTGACCTTGGGCCAGGCATGAACTTCTCTGTGCTCTAGTTCCCCATCTGGAAAATGGAGAGCCCAATCTCGTCTACCTCACGGCCAGTGATGGTCCCAACTGGTTGTGAAGAGCTCTGAAAAGTCAAAAGCCTACTGGCGTGTCTCCTCCTGCCTTCCCACCTCCCCATCCACCTGCTTTCTGCACCTTCTTCCTTAAAAATGTTTCCCTGTTATCATTCACTCTCATTTTTTACTATTCTGCACTCTCCCCACCCGTGGTGGCTTTTTCCATTCAGGATGTGAACATAGAGGAATCTCAGCCTCCAATCCTCCCTCTGCCCGCACCCCCCAAAGTCACAGCCAAGCTTCCCAAAGGGCTTCTCTCCACTTGCCGACTCCGTCCCAATCTCCCAATCACTTCTCAGCTCATGATCACCTGAGCCTCGCATCTCCATGGAGCTCCATGGAGGCGGTTCCCACTGATGACATCAAGGACCTCTAAGTCCTACCTGGGAAGCCAGGACCCCCATCCTGCTCGTCCGTGGTGGATTCGGTACGTTGACCTCTCCCTCCTCTTTGAACCTCTATCCGTGCACTTGCAGGACTCCACGCCCTCCTCCCACCTCTCTGGCCCCTCCCACCTCTCCGGCCCCTCCCTTCTCTCTGGCCCCTCCCTCTCAGGCTGTTCGCAGCCCCCACCTCCATCGGCCTGAGCTGGATGTTTCTCAGTGTTCTGCCCTCCTCCCCGGCCTTCTCACACGGTACACTCTCCCTGGGTAACTTGACCGGAGAGACATGTGCCCTGACACGCCCAAGCCTGCCTAGCCAGCCTCAGCTGCTTTCTGATGCTAAGGACCCGGATGTCTAGCCGCCTCCCAGATGTTATACTGGGAGGCCCACAAGCAGCTCAAACACAATGCATCCAAAAGCCAGCTCGTGGTCCTCCAAAACCTCCATCTGGGTTCATTTTCTGTATTAGACACTTTCAGCGTAGTTTCCTGCAGAATCATACCTTCATTCAAGGATTCACTGCAAGCAGTTGAACTGGGAGGTGACATCTCACGGAGACCTGATCTGCAGTGCAGCCCCTTCCTTGTCCGCGCAAAGACCCCACTCCAAGAAAGCTTATCAGCTTCTAGCATACTCTATAAAGTACTCAATTATGACATTTACTTTTATTTTTTTGGCGGTAAGCGGGCCTCTCACCATTGTGGCCTCTCCCGTTGCGGAGCACAGGCTCCGGACGTGCAGACTCAGCGGCCACGGCTCACGGGCCCAGCCGCTCCACGGCATGTGAGATCTTCCCGGACCGGGGCACGAACCCCTGTCCCTGCATCGGCAGGCAGACTCTCAACCACTGCGCCACCAGGGAAGCCCTATGACGTTTACTTTTATGGTCTGTCTCCCCACCTAGAGTGAAGGCCATGGCCCAGGTTTTTTCATCTGTTCTGTTCAGTGATGTCAGTCAGGTGCCCTGAACAGTGTGTGATGCACAGTAAGCCTGACAGACACCTGGGGAACGAAAGAATGACTTGGGGAATCGGGAAGACCTCTTTTTCTGCCTCCCCATCCAGACATAAACTGCATTAGGGTGGACACTGCTTTATTCTCCTCTGAATCCCACACATTTTTCGCCGGGCCTGCCACATTCCAGGCCCCAATGAACGTTGGACATGTAAAGTTTGAGCGTAGGACAGTGTGTGGCATCTTTAAAGCTTGGATGCCTTGAACTCTGAGGACTGGGCTTGCTTTGTGAGAGTTTTAATTTTTCCTTTCACTTAGTTCTTAGTCATTCTAAAGGTAAGTGTTCAAAATCTGACTAACCATGTCAGTCCACCGGCACCCATTCCCCTAGAAATTTTGGTGATAAACCGAAGAGGTGGCCTCTCGGTCTCCTCTTTTTCTAAATTCCACGCAGACCTACTTCTGATGCCTAATTTTCTTCTGAGATGTTCACGTTACAGAGTCTCACAGCAGAAGCAGTTGGTGGGCTGCCCATATGCCCCAGACACTCAGAATCCCACATTCCACCCTTGAAGCCGCCTACAAGCACCTTGGGTTTTTCACCTTCTTAGCCCAGGTGCCAAGGAGGTACCACCCAGGAGCAGCGCGAGCCCCGGAGAACGGGAGTGGGAGGATAAGCGCTCTGGCTTATTCATGCCTCTGGGGGACCCAGGCATGCTGATTCTGTCTGCCGCGTTTCTAAAGTGAGTGAACCCTATTCAGTATCCCATAACCCACCTTTATTGCATCCTTCTTTCCCCATCTCACTGCCCCACTCCCCTAAGCAGGGCTTCCTGGGAACATCTCCCCATCAGACTGCTGTACTGAAATCTCGTCTCAGCACTGCTTCTGGCAAAACCCAGACTAAGGCAGTGATATTATTGCTTTCTTTTACATACTGATTTTCTGAAATTGCTCATAGTGGATTAAAAAAAAAACCTTTTATATTGTGGGTTATAATATGCATAAAATGCACAGATATTGCATATACAGGTCAATAAATTATCACAAAGGGAGTACCTAGGTATCCACCATCCCGAACGTTGCCAGTGCCCCCGAAGCCCCTCTCTTGCTGACTCCCCTCCCCACACATCCTCCTTCCCTAGCCACTATCCTGGCTTTTAACACCGTAGATGACATCTCTTGAAATTTATATGAATGCACTTATTCAATATACATTCTTCGGAGTCCAACTTCTTCCACTCAGCATCATGTATGTGAGATTCATCTGTGCGGCTGTGCAGGGCCATGGTTCGTTCGTTGGTGCTGCATCACATTCTTTCGTGTGGCTAGACCACAATGCACTTATCTGTTATCTGTTGATAGTCATGTGGGGCTATTACCCAAAAAACGCTGCCATGAACATTGATGGAGATGCACATGTGTGTGCAGTTCTGTTGACTCTATACATCAGGATGGATTCACTGTGGATTCGGGGCACTTGTGATAATAAGTGGGAGAAAAGACTTTTTTAAGCAGAGAAGCCCCTCTGGGTGCCCATAATGTGATACCACGCAGGCAACTGAGTTCTTACTGTTCCGATATAATAATAAGGCTACAATAAGGGGACTGGTACTAGTTTCCTCGTGTTGCTGTTGCAAATTACCACAAGCAGTGGTAATTTATCCTTTCACAGTTCTGAGACCAGAAGTGATAAACCAAGGTGTCAGCAGTGTTGGTTTCATCTGGAGGCTCTGACTGAGAATCTTTCCATCCCTCCTCTATTCTGGTGACCCCTGGCAATCTTTGGCAATCTTTAGCTTATAGAGGCATCACTCCAATCTCTGACTCTGTCGTCACATTGCCTGCTCCCTTGTGTGTCTTCTCCCCTTCTCTCCTCTTATAAGGACACTTGTCATTGGATTTAGAGCCTACACTAATCCAGGATGATCTTAATTACACCTACAAAGACCCTTTCCCAGATAGAGTCACATTCACAGCTTATGAGTTGACTCATCTTTGGGGAGCCACCATTCAACCTACTATAGGACCCAAGAAGTTGGAGACAGTTACTCCCTAAGAGTTGAACTGAAATCAGTACACAATAAAGGAGCTAAGTTCTCCAAGGAATCACCTTGGGCAATGGGCAGGACATCTCCCATATCAAAGCAGGACAAGCGGTGTCTGGCAGAAATTAATCAAAATCCTCCACAGTGATCCCTTCATTAGGATATACATTTTTCCATTTTGTAAAAAGGCACCCTAAAAATCAAAGTGCTTCTGGCCAGGGTCATGCTTAGGTTGTTATCATCTAATGACTTAGTCACCCCCCAACTCCGTCTGTTCCAACCAGTCCTCCCAAAGAAGGGGAGGTGATGGAAGGGAGGATATCCAGGCATAGAAAGAGAGTCAGGACACTAAATGAGAGAAGAAACCCTGAAGATATTTGTCTACCCTTCAATTATTCTGAGGACTCATTGTGAGTACAGGTGCCCCAGTTGAGGAAATACACACACACACATGCACCATGAATGGGAGAAAGAATTTTGCTTTACAAAGGATTCTTTTTAAAGAAACCCCCTCTAAATCATTCTATGAAGCTCCCTTTAGAAACAGAGCCCTTCATACATTGAAAATAGCATTTCCTTTTTCAAGATTGGGTTTGTT